GGCCCTAAGCCTGCACGTGTTTACACAGGGAAACTGAGGCCCGGGAGAGGGTGCAAAGCAGGCGGGAATGCGAATGAAAAGCTGAGTCCTGCTTCCACGCTTTCTCCCGCGTGGTCACTACACGCAGCCGCCGTGGGAAATGAGCCGAGGAGGGAGGCGTCGCCAGAAGTCTGGGCCACCAGCCCCCCATTGCACTGCAGAAGTCAGCAGGGTCGGGATAGAACCCAGCTCGCACTCCGGCACCCAAGGGAAGGTGAGCACCCGTTTCACTCTCTCTGACACCCAAGGGAAGGCAGGCGCCGCCCGCTTCAGCCCCTCGGACACGCGCCCCGCGCGCTCACCGTCCACGCGCAGCTCCACGTGCTCGCTGCGCGCCGAGCCCGCGAAGGGCGGCGTGGGGTCCAAGTAGACGCAGCTGTAGTTGCCCGAGTCCTGCACCGACACGTCGCGCAGCTCGAAATGGGCCACGGCGCCCGTGGGGCTCAGGAGGCCGTGCAGCCGGTGGCCGCGCGCGTCCTCGCGCTCCAGGGCGAAGCGCAGGCCAGCCCGGGGCGCGTGGCACTCCAGCCGCACGAGCGCGCCGGGCGCGACGCTGGGGCTCGGCTCGGCCTGCAGCTTCGGCGCAGGAAGCGTCCCTGCGGGAAGGTGGCAGGCTTGTGCGGCCCGGAAGCTGGCGCGTCCCCCACGCCGCTCGGTTTAGCCCAGGGCCACAGCTTCCTCCGTGCGCCCTCGGACGCTCCGCGCGGGGCGGGGTCCCATGGGAGGTCAACATCACTCGGGTCCGACATCCGCCCGGTCCCTCTACGCGGCTGAATACCGCCCCCTGGGACTCCAGACCCAGGCCCTCCTTGCTTCTCTCTGTCTCTGTCTGTCTGTTTCTCTCTCACACGCACATAGACACACACCCCTACACTGTTGCTTATTTGTTTGTCTATAAAAACAGATAAGGGGTTTTGTCACCAGTTGGCACTTCTACAAGGCAGGTGTTTAGTTCTAGCTTCACCCGTGTCCATCTGCTGGGCATTGCCCAGGTGCCCAGCCAGCTCCAGGGGCAGCTGAGAACACGCAGGTGCTCGGGGCTCGAAGTCCAGTGCTCAATCCACGCTCCTCAAATAGTGACCACACTCAGGAAGTGGAGTGGATGGAAGAGCTGTGCCTCCCTGGCCAGCCTGACCCTTGATTGGAGCTGACCGTGCCTGCCCTTACCAATGCCTGCAGCCCCGCCTCAGTGCCCACCCATTCAGCCTGGGGCCTGGGGACTGGAAGGAACTCTGGGGAGGTGGCATCTGTGTGGCCTGTGGCCAACAACTTGTGGCAGACCCTCGAGGTTGCTGTAGTCGTCAGCCCCTTCTCAGCAGGTGAGTCTGGATTGGACCCCACACTCCAGTGGGACCCACCATTATGCCTTTTCCTCCTGTACCCCAGCCCCGAGAACAGAGCTGCCTCAGCCTGCCAGCTGCGCCCTATCCCCACAGCCACCAGGCTCACCGTCCCTCAGCAGCAGCTCCACGGGGGCGCTGTCCACGGACCAGGCTGTGTCCTTGCCAGACAGCCGATAGCGGCAGGTGTAGAGGCCACTGTCTTTGGGTGTCGCCATGTTCATGTCGAAGGTGATGTGCCCTGGGGTGGTGCTGTGTCCGTTTACGAGCAGCTCGGTCTCCCCCTGCCGCAGCTGGAAGTCCACACCGACCAGAGGCGCCACGCACCGGAGGTGCACCAGGGCACCAGGTTGTAGCACCCCAGTGGCCTTTCCCTCAAAGCTCATTGTGGGTGCGGGTGGTACCACTGCAAAGCAGAGAGGGTCATCTGGGAACAAGCCCCCGTCACAGGAAACTACAGTCTGCCCCCCACAGAACACCCTTCCTCGTGGCAAACTCCCACACAACTATCAAGGCCAGGCAACTGTATGGCCACACTTCTCTGATTCCATCCTGGGTGGGAGGAGTATTCAGGGTGTGGGGCAAAGAGCCTTGCCCTCTCAAAGCCTCCACCCCAGGAAGCCCTCCAGGGTGGTCCATGCACTCACGTCGCTCCTCGACGGTCACGGTGCTGCTGGGCTCCGAGGGGTTGCCTGCGGCGTGAGTCCGGTAGCTGCAGCTGTAGTTGCCAGGGTGGTGGATTGAAAAAGTCACTTCCGTCTCCTCGGGGGCCTCGGCCACCTCCAGAAACGCATCATCACCTTCCCGCTTCAGGAGGAAGGTCACACCCCGCAGCACCCCGCGGCACACCAGGGTTGTGTTCAGGCCCGGAGTGATCCAGGATACTGGCTCGGCCGAGAGTGAGGGTGGGGCCAGGGAGTCTGCAGAATGGGGTGCAGGGGAGCAGGCCTTTGCGAGGCTGGAGGAGGCTGTGCTCTTCCCTGGTCACTCCCCGTTCACGTCCCGTTCACTTCCACTTCCACCTGCTGCAGTGGCTTGGCAGGGCCAGGTTTTGGCGGGAAGGCACCTTTGTTCATCAAAGCTATAAAAGCCCCTTTCTCCCTCTGGGGGGCGTGGAGACTCAAGTGTGCCCTGCCACCATCCAGGCTTTGCCTCATAAGCAAGCCTTTTGATTACCTCCTGTACATCTGGAACTGCCAGCCTCATTCTTTGGTCTCTCAGCCTCCTTCGTATTTGGGTGGAGGCAAATCTAGAGTTAGTGGTCTGTGCCCAGAGACGGGGTAAGGAGGATGGGCTGTCCTGTGGGAGTCGGGGAAGATGGATAGTCAGACTGCACCTGGACCCCTCCCTCATGTGAGGGAATCTGGGGAGACAGAGGGCGTTCGTGGGGAAAAGAGGCAGGGCAGGCGAAGAGGAGCGTAAAGCAGACCCAGGCCTGCGTTAAGCCTTTTCAGGGATTTCCTTGTTTGTTACTCACAACTGCCGGGATCAGTAGGAATATCTCCCACTTTATGGATGGGGAAACCAAGGCTCCTCAGTGAGGTGGGCAGAAGACCAGGACAGGGAGAGTGATGGGTAGGGGAAGAGAGGCCCCCGCAGGCCCCGCCCCACTGCCTCCTAGCCCTGTCGGGTCCCTGCTCACCTGCCCCAGACACCTCCACCAGGTTGCTCAGTTCTGTCCACCTTTGGCCCATGTCTGTCTTGCAGCGGTAGAGCCCACGGGTTTCACTGGTCACTGCTCCCAGAGGGAACCGGTGCTCCAGACCAAGTCGTTGCACAGCGTCCTGGGCCACCCCGTCCTTGAAGAGCTGGAAGCCCACACTGGCCACGCGGGCCTGGCATGTCAGTGTCACGTTGGCCCAGGGTTCCAGCAGCGATCCAGCCTCCATCCATAGGTTTGGCCGGGTCTCAACATCTGCACAGGGGACAGGGGTTAACGTGACGACCCCAAGACCAGGGGCTCATCTGCTGTGCGTACTCCACCCCCCCCCCCCCAGCTCCCAGCCCCGGTACTCACACGTGGCCGCCTCAATGGCTAGACCCAGGGCAAGGCCTGTGGAGACGACACTGGTGAGAGCCCCGCTCCGGCCCGTCCCACCCCCTCCCACTTGAGGGGCCCAGGGCTTCAGGGCACCTCACCCCACAGCAGTAAGGGTGCCACCAGCACAGACATGGTGCTCAGTCCTCTGTCCAGCTGCCCGGCGCGCGTCTGAGGTGGGCGTCCAGGGTGATAAAGCCGAGTGGGGAGGCAGGGCAGGGGGCATGGGGCACTGACCTCCTGTTCCCAGGAAGGCGAGGGCAGGGGCCTGTGGGGGTGGGGACAAAGGGCGTTCCTCAGGAGGCCAACCAGAATTGGCCTCAGGATTCTCAGCGGTAACAATAATTAACAATGTTGTTGCTGTGTGTCATCGATTCTGACATCTTAGTGCCCCCAAGTGACAGAGTAGAACTGGCCAACAGGGTTTCTGGGGCTGTGATCTTTACAGGAGCCATTCACCAGGCCTTTCTCCTGTGGAGACCCTGGGTGGGTTAAATACCATAACCTTTCCATGAGCAGCTGAGTGCTCAACTGCTGTGCCACCAGGGCTCCTTTGAAGGCCTATGTTCCAGGGTAGTCTCACCCTCTCGAGACCCCTAACTTATCCAGGTGATCAGGGAGTTCATCAAGTTGGTTATTGCAATGGTCCGAGTGGTCACAGAGGATGGTGGCAGTGGGGCCGGGCCGGGCCAGGGGAGCAGTGGGAGGCTTCAGCAAAGGCCCTGCCCCAGGGGTGTTGTTCTCAGCCCACAAAGCTGAGACCCTCATGGCCCCAGAGGTCCTCCCAGCTGCTTTCTGTGGTCGCGGAGTTCAGCCGAGTCACCCCACACAGCTCTGGGTGGCCCAGGGTGACACCGGGGACAGAGGCCTTGACCCTGAGGGCCGCAGATCATAGTCTCCACTGAGCACATTATCAGGTCATTTCTCTACCGGGCAGCTGGAGGGTTCAAACCACCGACCTTTCAGTTAGCAGCTGAGCTCTTAACCACTGTGCCAGCAGGGCTTCCCTCTAGGACGGTGCCCACAGCAACCTCCCGGCTCATGCACTCCCACTCCCATCCCCTGCCTTCATTCATTCATCCCACAGGCATTTATTGAGTATTGCTGTGTGCCAGACACAGGGAACACAGAAGGAAGATGTTGACCCAGGCCCAGCCCACAGGGAGCCCAGTCTGGTGAGGGAGACGGAGAAGGCAGAGAGTAAGTGCTGCAAAGGACATACACCCCAGTGATGTGGGAGACACTGGGTGCAGCGGGAATGGATTGGAAGGGCAGGGAAGGCTTCTCAAGGAGCAGAGATCTGAGGCCAGTAGGTGGAACCGTGTGGACAGCCAGAGGAAGAGCCGATGCAAAGGCCAGATGGCAGGAGTGGAGGAGGCGAGGGCCAGAGAGGTGGGGGAGCTCGGAGACATGATGGGGACTAGTCACGCTGGGCCTGGTGGGCCCTGTGGGGGCTTCTGCTGAATGGAATGGGCAGCTGGGCTGTGGGAGTTAATGTTAGGTGTCAGCATGGCTAGACTGGGATTCTCAGTACTTCGGAAGATACAGGACTGCGTGTTCTTCCATAATGTCGCTGTTGTTAGGTGCCATCAAGTAGGCTCCAACTCATAGTGACCGAATGTACAAAAGAACAAAAATATCGCCCGGTCCTGCACCATCCTCAGTCATTGCTGTGCCTGAGCCCATCGTTGCAGCCGTTGTGTCGATCCATCTCATAACGGTGTTTCTCTTTTGACCCTGTTTCACCAAATGATGTCCTCCAGGACTGGTCCCTCCTGATAACATGTTCAAGATACGTGAAAAAAAGTCTGGCCATCCTTGCTTCTAGGGAGCATTTGGGGTGTACGTTTTCCAAGACAGATTTGTTCATTCTTCTGGCAGCCCATGGTATATTCAATATTCTTTGCCAAGACTGTAATTCAAAGCCATCAGTTCTTTGGTCATCCTTATTCATTGTCCAACTTTCACATACACATGGGGTAATTAAAAATACCATGGCTTTCGCAGGGGACATCAAGCTCAATTGGCATAACATACTATACAAAACATTGTTCCACCTACTACTTTGGCGAGTAGTGACTGGGACCTTAAAAGGCAGGAAGCTGCCATCTAGATGCAACAACAGGTCTCTCCTCGTCGAGAAGAAAGAAGAAAACCAAAATTAATGGAAACAATCAGTCCTAGCGACTGGTACACCATCCGATCTGCAACCTATACAACTATGAGACCAGAAGAACT